TAAATAGCGATGAGGGATATTTCACCCGCCGGTGATAAGAAATCGCAATCGCCATAACGCACATCACTAATATTACTGTTCACAATCACGTTTACATTCAAAATTACAATTCATAATTTCGTTTTGTAGCAAATATGAAATATAGGTACATCCATTTACTTAAATGTAAACGGATTAAGAATCAAAGTACTAGAAGAGATTTGAGCGTTTGGTACAAAAAGTATTTTTGATGTTGAAATTGTACTTGAAATCGGCAAATTGTACTTTTGTACATTTTAAAATTAATTGTACTGAAAAAGGTACAATTGTACTTAAAATATCAACACTATTTCAGCGTACCCAATTTTTTACTGATAATAACTCATGCGAGGGATTTGGTTATTGGTCATTTTACAAGCCTATTAGGAAGTATACATATCTGTGTTCGTATAGAATAGTAGCTTATGTCGGAAGACTGGCTTTAGTATAATGAACCATTCGCAGCATACGATGGCGAAAGACTCACTGGCGACGAGTCGTTGAAGAACTCTTGGAAAATAAACGTAATAGACGGTAATGTTAATGGCGATGCTAGTAAGTCAATATTCGTATAAAGTTTCATAAAAAAATTCCTTGTGGTTTAAAGAATATAGGAAATGGTACATTTTACTAAAGCCAGCCTCCCGACATAAGCTACTATTTCATACGAACACAAATATATTCGTCAACAAATAATGTTGATTATTTTAATTAAGTCCTAAGATAAGTTTGTGAATCTTATCAGTGTTCTACGTAAGAACCAAAAATCAATACCCTCGCCAATTTGAACTTTTGCTTTAAAAGAAAAATATACATAGCGCATTTACTCAATACTTGGTGTCAGCAAGACAATACAATCAGATGGCAACTCTTCGCCACAATACAACGACATGGCAACTCTGCACTGAATGGGAGCATTTTTCTTCACTTCGTCGTAGAGTAAGCACCAAATTTGTAACGCGCACTAGCATGCGCTAAAGTGTCAATTAAATTAAAATAAAGTTTGAAGTTCTGCCTTAAAGGCATTTAAAATGGTTTGTTATTATTCATTTTGTCGACATTAAGTTACAAATTTGCTTACAACATTGGTACATTCGAGTTATACCAAATTGTCTTTGCATAAAATACATACATACATATTTTCCACGAATCAACCGACTTACGAAGATTGGCAGAAGGGTCAGCCATATTTGTCGATCAGTTCGACGCGTCATCCAGTCGTCGTATATTATCTTGTGTCATTCATTCCATCTCGTGCAGTATTTGGAATTGTATGTGTGCGGCGTAAAAGAAATTCAAATCGTCAGTTGTTGAAACGTTCAGCATTGAGTTTCGCAGCCACAGTCGCCGGAATTTGAGTTGTGCAGTCAACGTCGTTCAACATTGAGCTGTACAGAAACGTCCAGCATTGAGTTTCGCAGCCACAGTCGCCAGAATTTGAGTTGTGCAGTCAACGTCGTTCAACATTGAGCTGTACAGAAACGTTCAGCATTGAGTTTCGCAGACACAGTCGCCAGAATTTGAGTTTTGCAGTCAACGTCGTTCAACATTGAGCTGTACAGAAAACGTTCAGCATTTAGCTTCGCAGCCAGCGTAGTCTAGTTGAAATCGTCGAATCAACCCTTAAATTCAGCTATCGTAGTGTACATTGAGCATCGCAGTCAACGTTTTTCAGTCATAGTCATAACCAGGCCTTGCAATCAGTTTGCAACCATAAGTTTGCAGTTCTAGAAATTCCTTTTAAACGATGTGTAAATACATATTTACAAGTAATTTTGTCTCGCTTGCTTCCATTTGGTTCAGTTGCTGAACATCATGCTGACAAGAAATCAAGCAAAAGAAAACGAAAAGGTTATTGAGCAGAGTGTAGCAACAGAAATAGAAGAAATGTCAAATGACTCTGATAGCTTAGACAATACTTTTGTTGAAAGAAATACAATGGAAAATTCATCGAATTGTGTCATAACGCACGATCAATTTGCCGCATTGTTGGCAAGCATTAATACTTTGAAGGAGTCCGTAAGCGAGCTAAGCCGTGAAACACAACAAATTAAAAACGAAGTCAAGATGGGTGATAGCAACATTGCCGCATCTCATATGCCAAATAAGCCTTCGGACAATACTGATGTAAATGCAACATTTCCGCTACTGGGGAGCACTTCAACCATATTTTACCAGATAATACAGCTAGCGAGCATATGCTATCGTCGTTATCTACAACTACGGCCGTGAGAAATTTGCAGAACAATGCAAATATAACAGCTTCAGCTACTGGGGAGCACTTCAACAATATTTTGCCACATAATACATCTAACCAGCATATGCCGTCGTCGTTTGTGTCCAGTCGGGACCATATTGTCCACAGTCGCAAGCTGAATATTCGCAGCCATCAGTACCACGATTTCCTCAACCATCAATACATTATCGCCAGACAGATTCGAACTCCATACCACAGTCTCAATTTATGCAACCCCCGAACTCAACATTGCAACAAAGGGGCATGGTGTCTTTTGTTGACAACGCAGCAGCTAAATTGTATCCTTTGCCAAATTTCGATGGCAACCCAGAGGATTGGCCTTTGTTTAGAGCTAGCTACAGAGATACCACTACCGAATTTGGATACAATAATAGGCAGAATTTAATGCGACTTCATAAAGCACTACATGGTCATGCTGAGCGAGTAGTTTCTTCATTGTTAATTTATCCCGACAATGTGCCTCTTGTGTTGGAAGAGCTACAGTTTAATTTCGGTCGCCCAGATTTAATGATAAGAGTTCAAATGCAAAAAATTCGACAGTTTCCAGCTATTAGTGAAACCCAACTTGAAAAAGTTGTTGAATTGTCAAATCAAGTTCGAAAC